GGTCTCCCTGGAGCTTCTCTTCTCCAGGTGAACCCCCCCAGCTCTCTCGTAGCAGAGCCCTGGGATCAACTCCGTGTCCTTCTCCAGACTCATTCCAGCAGTTCCTTGTCATTTTGGGGGGTCACAAAGCCAGGGGTCCCCTCAGGCAGGTGCTGCTGGGGCTGCAGGGGGGAAAACTGTGCAATTCCTACTCGATGGCTGCCCTGGGATCGGGATCGTTGCCCCGGGATCGGGATCGCTGCCCCGGGATCGGGATCACTGCCCTGGACATGGAGCCAAACTGACCCCAGGGGGGGTTGAAACCCTGGGAGTTCGTGGAGGTGAGGAATTTGTTCCTGATCTTCTGATATGTGCCCAGATCTGGGTGCCCTGGGAGATCTCCCAGCACCTGGCCCTGGTTAATAGGGTGTAGAGGGGACGGGTGAGTGGGTGCCCGTGGGTGGGAGCTGCACCTTCCCCCGAGCTCGTGGAGCAGGTTGGGAGGAAAAACCAGCAGCTGAGGCCACAAAGTGTGTTTGGAATTCGTATTTTATTGCTTTGTACAAGTGAAAAAAGCAGGGGGTGGAGAGAAGAACTACAAGGTAATGTGAAAACCCACGGTGGGAGTCCAGATCCGCCCCCGAAGGGTGACCCAGGAAAAGCCACGTGGAGTCCTGGTGGTTCCTCTCTCGTTTAAATAAATCAAAAGGCAGGGTTGGTAAAATAAAAATATGGGAATCAAGAAAGGCTGACATGATATTGTCACAAATAACCACCCTGGAGGTCCTGAAATCAAGTGAGAAGCCAGGGCTTAGACCCAAAACCCCTGAAAACACCCCGGGGTGGAGGGAGAGCTGCGGGAGGGAGCCCTCGGAGGAACTTCTTGTTCAAAGTGTTTGATGTAATTACAGGTTTTAATTAATGAAAAGCCACTTTTGAGGCGAGCTTAAACAAAGTTTTTGCAGGGAGAAACCCACCCAGGGGGGAGAGATGAGTGAGCCATGAACAGAGTGCACAGGGAGATCCCAAAAGAGCTGAGGAACCAACATTTCCCCAAAGCTGGGCTTGGCTTTACGTTCCTCCAGGGGGAAAAGTGCCCTGGGTAATGAAGCTGATGGAGATTTTCCAAGCTGAAAACATGGATCTTACCCTCAGCTTAATGGTAGGAGCTGGATAAATAGCTTTAAAAGAAACCAAGCCTGCATTCTGAAGGGTTTGAAGAGTTCTGGGAGGACAAACTGGGCTGGAATGTTTCTTAAATGGAAGTGCAGGGCTACAGAAGTGCCCGGAAAAGGGATGTGCTGGCACTGGCACTGCTGCCCATCCAAACTGCTGCCTTTGGAGCAGCTGATCTGCACAACAGTCAGGCCTTTCCCACTCCTCCTTCCTCTCCAGGAGCTCAAAATGGGATGTGTGTCTGCAGAGCAGGAATAATAAAAATTAATATTTTTAATAATTTTAAAATTATTAAATTTAAATGTAAAAATTAATTAAATAATTAATTTAAATTACAGGCTGTGGTTTCTTTCATCACAAACAAAAAAAACACAAACAAACAGGCTTCAAGCTGGTAAAGTTGTTATTCTGAGTATTGCAGTGTCCAGGGGGGATGTTCCTCCTGTTTATGGAGAGAGGTGGAAACTGAGTTTGGCTGCCTGTGCCCCCCTCAGCTCAGCAGACACAGCCCAGGAAGGAGGGAGAAGAAAGCCAAGGGCAGAAAAACCTTCCTGGCCTGGATTTTGGGTTGGATGCTGCCAGAGGTGACAGGGGGCTGCTCCTGGGAGCTCTGAGTGAAGCACAGACATCACTCATGTCACTGATTAAACCCCAGGAACTTGGTGGAATTGCTCTTCCCAGGGTGGAAGTTCCCTTCCCCCCCACGGTGCAATAATTAATTGGGATTGAAACCCTGGAAATGTCACACCCTTGGGCTGCTCAACCTCTGGGCATGGATATTGCCCCAGGATCAACTCTCATCCATGAGGAGAACCAAAAATAACCTGCAAGCCTAGGCTGGGGAACCTGCAGTGAATTAGGATCATTTAGGTTGGAAAAGCCCTCTAAGATCTCCAAGTCTAACCCTGAGCCCAGCAGTGCCAAGCCCATCCCTAACCCGTGTCCCCAGGGGCCACATCTACAACAGTTATTTTAAAATTCCCTCCATGGAAATAGTTGCCAGAAACAAAAAATGCATTTTTTTCCTGAAATTTTATCCCAGAGAAGTGGATGATTCCGAAAGAAAAAGGCAATCCACAGCATTGTGCAGGTCATGGAATTATTCTGCATAAAAAGTACAAATGGAATATTTCAGCTGCTTTTCCTTGGAAGAAATTGGTCTCACTTGGAAATGGTTGTCTAAGACATGCTTGGAAACTAAAAAAACCCCTAAACTACTTAAAACCCTAAGCCATGCTTGGGTCCAATTTGGTTCTAATTAAGTTCTAATTTCCCACTGGCAACACCAGCTTTTGCCTTTTTATGGAATCATAAAACCACGGAACGGGTTTGGGTTGGGAGGGATTTGAAGGATCATCTTCCACCCCCTGCCACGGGCAGGGACACCTTCCACTGTCCCAGGTGGCTCCAGCTCGGCCTTGGACGCTTCCAGGGATGGAATTTCTTCCTAATATCCCACCTAACCCTGCCCTCCTTCAGCTCAGGGCTGTTTTCCAGTAGGTGAAGCTGCTGAGTCTGTGATATCCCCTCCTTGACCTCACAGCGATTCCAAGGAGCTTCTGCCTCCCCAGGCACCACAGACCTATCAGCTTCACCAGCATTCCTGATTATTCACAGAATCCCAGAATCAGCTGGGTTGGAAGGGACCTCCGAGATCATCAAGTCCAACCCTTGATCCAACCCCGCCGTGGTTCCCAGCCCATGGCACTGATGCCACATCCAGTCTGTCCTTAAACACCTCCAGGGACGGAGAATCCACCCCCTCCCTGGGCAGCCCATTCCAATGGCTGAGCACCCTCTCTGCAAAGAAATTCTTCCTAATCTCCAACCTAACCCTCCCCTGGCACAGCTGCAGACCCAGCCCTCTTGTCCTGCTGATGGTTGCCTGGGAAAAGAGACCAACCCCCCCCTGGCTCCCCCCTCCTGGCAGGGAGTTGCAGAGAGTGAGGAGGTCTCCCCTGAGCCTCCTCTTCTCCAGGCTGAGCCCCCCCAGCTCCCTCAGCCTCTCCTCACAGCACTTGTGCTCCAGTCCCTTCCCCAGCCTTGTTGCTCTTCCCTGGCCCTGCTCCAGCCCCTCCATGTCCTTCCTGAGCTCAGGGCCCAGAACTGGACACAGCACTCCAGGGGTGGCCTCCCCAGCGCTGAGTCCAGGGGCAGAATCCCTTCCCTGGCCCTGTTGGCCACCCTGTTCCTGAGCCAGGCCAGGATCCATTGGCCCTCTTGTCCCCCTGGGCACACTCGGGCTCCTGTTCAGCTCCCTGGCCATCCCCACTCCCAGCTCCCTTCCTGCCTGGCTGCTCTCCAGCCCCTCTGGCCCAGCCTGGAGCTGCCGGGGGTTGTTGTGGCCAAAGGGCAGGACCCGGCCCTTGGCCTGCTTGAACCTCATCCCCTTGGAATCAGCCCCTGGATCCAACCTGCCCAGGTCCCTCTGCAGAGCCCTCCTGCCCTCCAGCTGATCCACACTCCCCCCCAGCTTGGTGTCATCTTGCCGACCTTCTGCTCAAGCTGTTCACCTAAAGCCAGTTGCTCAGGACCGTGTCTAGACAGCTTTTGTACATCTTTGTGGATAGAGATTCAACCTCTCTGTGGAACCTGTTCCAGTAAAAAAGTGTTTCCCTCCATTCACATTCCCTCAGAGGCTCCACTGAGAACACCAAAGCTTTAATCCAGCCTCTCATTTTTTAAGGAGACACCACCCCGAGTGCAGCCCCAGGCCCAGCTCTGCTAAAAGATAATCAAAGAGCAACAGGATCCCAGTGATGCCTTTGATCCAGGCCTTAATTCTGATCCACAGGCCTTAATTACCCACATGGTTGAGTAATCTCTGCCCACATAGGCCGAGCTCAATGTCGTGCTTACGCTGCACGTCCTAAACTCCTGCTGGGTTGGGCCTTGCTGAGCTTAAGCTGTTGGTGGAAAAAGGGCTGGACATGCCCCATCCATGTGCTCTGGCAGCCTGGAAAGCCAGTGGTGTCCTGGGATGACCCCACAGCTGGGGAGGGGGGAATTCAGGTGAGACCCTCCTTGCAGAGCTGCCTGAGAGAGTCCAGGGAGGCACCAGCATGATCCGAGGGCTGGAGCAGCTCTGCTGGGAGGAAAGGCTGGGAGAGCTGGGATTGTTCAGCCTGGAGAGGAGAAGCTTTGGGGGGAAATAACTGTGGCCTTCCAGGACCTGAAGGAGCCACAAGAAAGATGGAGAGAGACTGTTTACAAGGGATGGAGGGACAGGACACAGGGAGTGGCTTCAAACTGCCAGAGGGCAGAGATAGATGGGATATTGGGAAGGAATTCCTGGCTGGGAGGGTGGGGAGGCCCTGGCACAGGTTGTCCAGAGAAGCTGTGGCTGCCCCTGGATCCCTGGAAGTGTCCAAGGCCAGGTTAGAGCAACCTGGGCTAGTGGAAGGTGGCCCTGCCCATGGCAGGGGGTGGCACTGGATCCTCTTTAAGGTCCCTTCCAACCCAAACCATTCTGGGATTCTATTTCTCCTTCAAACACAGATATCACACCCCTGCTGTGTGCCCTGACACACTTTGCTGCCCTCAGTTCTTAGGGAGGTTTTTTTGCTTCCTATTTGTCTAAATGAAGTGTTATTATGGGCAGCAGCTCCTTGAGCTGCCACAGCTCAGTGAGATTCCCAATAAAGCCCCTGGGTCATATAATAACCACATAATAGCCATAATAAAGGTTTTCCAGGTCCACATGACCTCAGTTATTGCAAATAACTCTTAATTTAACACCATTCTGAAGCACCTCCCCCCAAAAAACACGTTGTGATTAAAGCACATCCCCTGTAAACACCATCCCAATGTTCTCCTCCCCATGGGAAGGACTCAACCCGCTCGACTCACCGGTAGAATTCCCAAATTTTCTTGGCGTAGTACTTGACCTCCTCCTGTGCCATGGTCAGCAGGTGCCTGTTGGCCCCGATCCCGGAATATGTTGCCTGGAAAGCGACTGTCAGGGCCTTCAGCAGCTTGCCCAGAGGGTGCAGGGAGGACTTCAACGCCTGCAGGAGGCGGGAAAATTCAATGCCACACGTCAGCGTTGCCATCAGTGGAGGAAAACACCCCAAAAGGCCCCCCAGCCTCCTCCTGGCAGCAAAGGAGGACAAGCCCAGAGGTGACATCATTTCCAGCAGCTGGAGAACCAAGAGGGAAGATTTCTCCACAGCTCTGCACAAAATGAGTGGCCAAAGAGCACGAGGGACAAGCCTGTTCTTGACATAATTTAGGGAAGTTCTTGAAGCCTCTGGCCATGTTTTATGTGCTGTCAAATTAACAGCAATTTGCCCGGCTCTGTGTCCATGTCTGGTGGCCAAACCTGGATTATTTTAAGCTTTTTACCTTCTCTAAATAACTCTGTATCGACTCCAGCTCCTGGTGCTGGACAAGCTCTTCAAGGATATCTTCAATTTTCCAGGATACGTCCTCAGTCCCCCTGAAAGGATGAGAAGTGAGGGAGGAAAAAAGAGGTGAGCTTCCCACAAGGAAGCTCTGGGATAAATCCAGGTGGGTATCACAGGTAGATTCCAAAGGGGCAATAAAAAAATTAGAAGGAATGAATTTTTCACTTGTAAGACTCAACCTCAACAGCAGAACTTTAAATTGAGGGGTAAAATCCCTCCTCCTGCTTCATGAGAAGGAACAACTGGAAAATGCTCAAGTTCATGACTTTAAAACATGATTTCAATCAGACCCTGATTTAAACGGATTCCTCTGTGGCAACGAGGCCCTGGAATATTCCTACCTTTGGCAGAAGAGATATTCCTGAGATTTCCTCAGCTCCTTGCTGGTTTGGATGTGGAACCCTGTGAAAGACTCTTCCATCTCTTCCTTGCAGCCAGACTGGAGGAATTCCAGGAACTGGTCATAGATTCCCTTCCACCTCTTCTCCACTGGGAACTCCCTGAGGCCCAGCTGACTGGAAAATGGAACGTGGCATTAGGATTTCCTGGATCCCCCTTTAATCACTTCAGACCTCACCTTCAAATAGGGGAGGTTCTCCAGGGTTGGGATTAACTCAGGGATGGAGCCAGGCTGGGAGAGCTGGGGGGGTTCCCCTGGAGAAGAGAAGGCTCCAGGGAGAGCTGAGAGCCCCTGGCAGGGCCTAAAGGGGCTCCAGGAGAGCTGGAGAGGGACTGGGGACAAGGGATGGAGGGACAGCACACAGGGAATGGCTTTAAGCTATAAAAGGATAAATTTAGGTGGGATATTGGGAAGGAATTCCTGGCTGTGAGGGTGGGGAGGAACTGGGATGGATTTCCCAGAGAAGCTGTGGCTGCCCCTGGATCCCTGGAAGTGTCCGAGGCCAGGCTGGAGCAACCTGGGCTAGTGGAAGGTGTCCCTGCCCATGGCAGGGGGTGGGACTGGGTGACCTTAATGTCCCTTCCCACCCAAACCATTCCATGCTGACTCCCTGATGTTCTGTAGGAGCAGAGGAACATGGAAGTGCCCAACTGGGAATTCAATAAAAGCAACTCAGGTCCCTTGTCCTGACAATGAGGTGCTTTGGGCGAAGAAAAATTCCTGGTGTGTGGAACATAAATAACCTCAACTTCTGCTGGTCACAGACTTCCTTGGCCCCTGGTGGATGTCCCTAAACCCAGACCATTTATCTCACCCCAAAGCCTTCAGAAGAGCAACCACCACCAGCAGCTATTTCTGCCTGGAAAGAACAGGAGCTGTTTCTGCAACAGGAATGACGGACTGGAAATGTTTTGCAGAGGAAAGAGGAGGAAACTGAACTGGGGTTTGTGAGAGGAAATGGAATTTGTGAGGACAGGCAGCTGGGTTTTTTTCCCCACTGGGACTCCCTCCTGTGAGTTAAACTGGCTGAATCCAGGTCCTCCAGCTTGGCATCCCTTGGCAGGGTTCAGCCCTGAAATGAGGGATGTGGTCTGATGGCTCCAGCTCAGCCATTCCTGCCTTGTATTCCCACCATTTCCTGCCAAAACAGGAGCAGCAGCTCTGATCTTCCACGTGGAGGGCAGTGGCAGGGTGGGAGGAGAACATCTCTTCTCCCCTTCCCACCTGGCATTAATTGAGGTCCTGGAGCAGGTCCAGGGAAGAGCAACGAGGCTGGGGAAGGGACTGGAGCACAAGTGCTGTGAGGAGAGGCTGAGGGAGCTGGGGGGGCTCAGCCTGGAGAAGAGGAGGCTCAGGGGAGACCTCCTCACTCTCTGCAACTCCCTGACAGGAGGGGGGAGCCAGGGGGGGGTTGGTCTCTTTTCCCAGGCAACCATCAGCAAGACAAGAGGGCTGGGTCTGCAGCTGTGCCAGGGGAGGGTTAGGTTGGACATTAGGAAGAATTTCTTTGCAGAGAGGGTGCTCAGCCATTGGAATGGGCTGCCCAGGGAAGGGGGGGATTCTCCATCCCTGGAGGTGTTTAAGCTGAGACTGGATGTGGCATCAGTGCCATGGGCTGGGAACCACGGCGGGGTTGGATCAAGGGTTGGACTGGATGATCTCGGAGGTCCCTTCCAACCCAGCTGATTCCATGATTCTATAATTCTGTGATTAACACCACGACAACCTCTGCTCTCCTTTCCTCCTTCTCCCCTAACCCAGTTTTCAGCTCCAATCTCTGCCAGGGCTGCTTTGATCCCCACAGGAATTATCCACGACCCCTCCCGGAGCCCAAATCCAAGCCCTGGCCGGGGAATCCGCCGGCTCTGCTCACGTTTTGGTGATCCTCTCATCCAGCTGCTCGCTGGAGGTGTTGAGGACGCCGTGGGTCTGGAGGCCTTGGCCCGACTTGTTGGTGAAGGTTCCCTCCAAAACGAAGCCGTTGGCGAAGGAGAGCTTTCCCTGCGGAGGAGGAATCCAGGGTTACTCTGCCAGGAGCTCGTTAGAGGCAGGAAACGAGCTGGACCAAGAGCTCAAAGTCTCTTTTCAGCAGCGCCAGCTCTTGAAAAGGTGGCTCAGGACAAACTTCCACCCCGGAGGTGGAGATTCCAGCAGCCAAAGCAATGATGTCAATAAAGTGGCAGCAACTGGAGCCAACACATCCCAAAAATCCCAGATTAAACCCTTTGCATTATTCCCTACAAAGCCTCAAAATCTCCTTTGAGTTATTAAATCTGCCCTAAATCTGACAATAGTTTAAACTAAACAGGAGTGAAGGGATGAAGCTTCGATTTCTCCCAGTTTTCCCTCAAACCACAGGGAATTTTGGCCTCCCAGGTGTGGGGGAATCACATGACCTTCACCATAAACACCTTCAAACTCATTGGAAAACTTGGGAGTTGGCTGCTCCCAAGGCAAACCTAAATTCTCTGAGGCAAACCCAGGACATGCAGCAGCTCGACTCAGACTTGGAGGATTTAATTAAAGCCAAAGCCAAACAATATCCTGGAATAGGAGCCTGAAATCCTCCTGGCTCGTGGCAGGAGGCCCATTCCAGCTCTGGATAAAGACCAGATTTCTCTGGACCAACCACTAAAATCAAGATGAATTTTGGAGGCTCTGAGCTAATTAATGTCAGACGAATTTTGGAGGCTCTGAGCTAATTAATGTCAGATGAATTTTGGAGGCTCTGAGCTAATTAATGTCAGATGAATTTTGGAGGCTCTGAGCACTGTAATCGATGTCTGTGAAGAAGATGATGACAAGCTCTTCCTCCCCTGAGAGTCATTAATGACAAGGCTCATTTGCACTCATTAGCAAGGCTCTGTTTTGACACCTCTCCGTGTGATCCAAGCCCACATTTCCTGCCAGGCTCATCCCATTGTTGAGGAAGGAGCTGGAGGAGGAGTTTTCCTTCCCCAGGGGATTTTCTCACCACTCTGAGCAGATATTTCTGCCCACATTGCAAAATTGGGCTGCCAAACCCCTCAGCTGTGGGGTAACACCTCGGGTTGGTTGCATTTCCTGTGTCCCCAAACCACTGCAAAAAGGCTGAAAATGTGAGTTTGAAGGAGATAAAAACATCCCAAGTGCAGCTGGGAAGAACAGGCAAAAATGTCCCACAAAAACAAGCGAAGAAAAGCAAAATCCAACAAAAAAAACCTCAACGGCAACAACGAAATAATAATAAAAAAAAACAAAGCAAAACGAAAAATAAACAAAGTCAAAAAAGCAAACTACAAAAATCTACATAAAAAATAAGCAAATAACAAATAAAAACAAAAGAAAACAGAAAAAAAACAAATAATCAAATAATCAGACAAAACAACAATCAAAAAATCAAAGTATAAAAAGCTACACAAAACCCAAGCAAATAACAAATAAAAGCAAAAAAAACCAAAAATCAGAAAAACCAAATAATCAAATAACCAGAAAAAACAATAATCAAAAAACAAAACTACCAAAAGCTACACAAAAACCAAGCAAATAACAAAAAAAACAAAAAAATCTCAATGATCAGAAAAACCAATTAATCAAATAATCAGAAAAAAGAACAATCAAAAAATCAAACTACGAAAAGCTACACAAAAAACAAGCAAATAACAAATAAAACCCAATAACCAGAAAAACCCCAAACAAACAAAAAAATAAGCAAAATAACAAATAAAAGAACCAAACAAAAAACTAAACAAAACCCAAAAAAACCCCCACAAACAAAAAACCCAAATGAAAAGCAAACCAAAAAAACCCAAAAAAACTAAACAAAAATCCCAAACATACAAAAAAACCCAAACAAAACCCCCAAACATACAAAAAAAACCCAAAGCAAAACAAAAATTAAACAAAACCCAAAAAACCAAACCACAAAAAACAAGCAAATCAACAAATAAAACCAAAAAAACCAACAACCAAAAAAACCCCAGCCAAATAACCAAGCAAAAAGCTAAATAAAAGAACCAAAAAAAAAACAAATTAAAAAAAAAAACAGAAAAACAAACAAAACAAAAAAAACCAACCCAAAAAAACCACAAACTAAAAACCCAAATGAAAAACAAACCAAAAAACCCAAACAAAAATCAAACCAAAAAAACCCAAACAAAAAAAAATCACAAAAAAACCAAACAAAAAATCAAACCAAAAGTACCCAAACAAAACCCCCAAACATACAAAAAACCCTCAAAGCAAAACAAAAATCGAACAAAACCAAAAAACCAAACCACAAAATCCCACACAAAAACCATGCAAAAAGAAGCAAATAACAAACAAAACAAAAAAAAAAACCAAAAAACTCAGAACCAAACAAAAAACCAAGCAAAAACCTAAATAAAAGAACCAAACAAAAAATAAACAAAAAAACAACAACCCAAAAAAAAAAAAAAAAAAACAAAACCACAAAAAACCAAAAACTCACAAAAAAGCCCAAATAAAAACAAACAAAAAAACACCAATAAAAAGCCCACAAAAAAAAAAGCCCAACATACAAAAAAAAAAAAAAAACAGAGCAAAAAAACCTCAAACCAAAAAAAAAATCAAACCAAAAAATCCCAACCAAAAAACCGAACCAGAAAACCCCAAACGAAAACCACCAACCAAAACCCACCCAAAAACCAACCCAAAAAGAACAACCAACCAACCAACCGCCCCCCAAAAAACCCCCGAAAACCTCAAGAGCCTGGAAGGAACTCAAACATTAAACCCCAAAACTCTTCCCAAAGCCCCCCCAGGGTCTCTCAGCTGAAGCTTTTCTTCCCCCACTGAGACTGATGAAGGACAAAAATAGTCCAAAAAGCAGGAAAATCGGATTTTCCGGGAGACTGGGGGAAGTGGGGCGGGAAGGGGCGAACTTTGGACACGAATCCATGTGGGAATTAAAGAAACTGTGGAAACCAAGGAAGTTCTCACCTTCCCAACAAAGGTCAGGTCCTCCGTGAAGTTCCCTTCGTAGACGGAGTCGTCTTCCAGGAGCAGGATCCCAGAACCCTGCAGGTGGAAGCAGAGGGAGTGAATCCATGCCATGAACTTCCCACCTGCTCAAGTTCATCCCAAAAAATCCACTGGCTTGGATTATTTGTGGGATGCAGATTCCCAGGATCTCCTTGGAAAGCCCAACCTCTCATTTCAGTGCTCGAGAGCAAGGAGAAGGCCTGGGGGTGGTCAGGGGGTTTGGAACAACTGTGGCATTAGTTTTCCCGGGAAAAGGAGCAAAAAGCAGGATCCTGGGCTAAGAATGGACACCAGGAATTGTCACAGGGGTCAAACTCGGGCTGCTCCCAATCCTGGGACTTTTCAGGGGATTGGAGCCAACTGTGTCACCCTTTGAAAAGTGATGAAGAGGAAACAGGATGGTGGAACATCCTGAGCTGGAAGGGACCCCCAGGGATCCCCCAGGACACCCCACCAATCCCACCATGTCCCTGAGAACGTTGTCCTGGAGCTCTGGCAGGATTTGTTCCATGCCCACTTCCCTGGGGACCCTGTTCAGTGTCCAACCACCCTCTGGGAGAAAAAAAACCCTCCTCATATCCAGCCTAAACTTGGGATTCACTTTATCCCTTGCTGTGCAGCCCACAGGGCTTTAATGAGCTGCTCCCAAACATTCCTTAAACAACTCATTCCACCGCCTCCCAAATCCCACCCTGCTTTCAGGAGCACAATTTTTAGGGAAGGAGCCCCAAGACGCAGAAAAGACACAGGATAATTTAGATTTCTCCTGGGTGGGTTTAGCCCCTGGTTTAGGCCCTGAGGTTTTACAAGAACCCAAACCAGCCAGAAAAACGTGGTCACTTCTAGAGCTGTAACACTTTTTTCCCACTGGAACGGTTTTCCTGGCTGGAAAAACGCCCTTTCTGGCAAAAAAAAAATAAAAAATAAAAGGTTTCCAAGGGCAGCTTCTCAGTCCCACCAATTTTCCACCAGGAAAGCTGAAGTGGCTGCTCCCCACCTGGAAGCCGTGGGAAGTTAAAGGAGCCTTTGGCAGCGTTTATTTTGGAGGTTTTCTGGGAAGTGCAAACATTTCACCCCGATTTGGTGAAGTGGGGCGGGGGTTGTTTGGTTTTTTTTCAGCACATGTTTTTCAGGAGAAGCAAAGCTTTGATTCCTGGGCCAGTTTGAGCAATGCCAATTCCTTCTGCTCTCCCCACCAACGGCTAAACTTTCAAAGACACCAAAACTCGGCACAGGGAAGAGGAAAGGGGAAGATTTCCTGATCTCCAAGAGAGGTGGAGTATCATGGAATTGCAGAATGGTTTGAGTTGGAAGGGACCTTAAGGAACATCCAGTGCCACCCCCTGCCACGGGCAGGGACACCTTCCACCAGCCCAGGTTGCTCCAACCTGGCCTTGGACACTTCCAGGGATGGGGAGTCCACAACCTCTCTGGGCAACCTGAGGGATACAAAACCATCCTGAGGGATATACAACCATTCTGAGGGATATCTAGGCATCCTGAGGGATGTATAACCATCCTGAGGGATATACAACCATCCTGAGGGATATACAACCATCCTGAGGGATATCTAGGCATCCTGAGGGATGTATAAACATCCTGAGGGACATATAACCTTCCTGTGGGATATCTAGCCATCCTGTGGGATATATAGCCATCCTGAGGGATGTATAACCTTCCTGAGGGATGTATAATCATCCTGTGGGATATAAAACCATTCTGAGGGACATATAACCATCCTGAGGGATACCTAGCCATCCTGTGGGATATACAAGCATCCTGAGGGAGATATAACCTTCCTGAGGGATGTATAGCCATCCTGTGGGATACATAGCCATCCTGAGGGATGTATAACCATCCCAAGGGAGATAGAACCATCCTGAGGTAGACAGAACCATCCTGAGGGAGACAGAACCATCCTGAGGGAGATATAACCTTCCTGAGGGATATCTAGCCATCCTGTGGGATATATAGCCATCCTGAGGGATGTATAATCATCCTGTGGGATATAAAACCATTCTGAGGGATATCTACCCATCCTGAGGGATATACAACTATCCTGAGGGATATTTAGCCATCCTGAGGGATACACAGACATCCTGAGGGATATATAACCTTCCTGAGGGATATATAACCATCCTGAGGGATGTATAACCTTCCTGAGGGATGTATAACCTTCCTGAGGGATGTATAACCATCCTGTGGGATATAAAACCATTCTGAGGGACATATAACCATCCTGAGGGATATCTAGCTATCCTGTGGGACATATAGCCATCCTGTGGGTTATACAGTCATCCTGAGAGATGGATAGGCATCCTAAGGGATATACAGCCATCCTGAGGGATATATAACCTTCCTGAGGGATATATAACCTTCCTGAGGGATGTATAACCTTCCTGAGGGATAGAAAACCATTCTGAGGGACGTATTACCATCCTGAGGGATATCTAGCCATCCTGTGGGACATATAGCCATCCTGAGGGATATACAGTCATCCTGAGAGATGGATAGGCACCCTGAGGGATATCCAGCCATCCTGAGGGATGTATAACCACCCTGAGGGAGTCCTAACCATGCAGCACTTCACATGTGACCCCCGGTCCGTAACTGGGGCTGGGTGATCAGCTGAACAGCCAGACCTACAAGGTGTCTTAGGAGGAGCAAGGAGAAGTGACAGCCTCAGGTCTTGTTCCTCCCCACACCTCAGGGGGGTGATAAGAATCTAAACATTAATCTGAACATTAATCTAAACTTAATCTAAATCCTGGTCTTCAAAAATATTGTTATGGTAAAATCACAGGAGAGAGATTTTCTCCAGGGAGCTGGAAGGGACCCCCAAGGATCATCCAGTCCCACCCCTGACCCTGCACAGACACCCCAACAACCCCACCCTGTCCCTCAGAGTGTTGTCCAAACCCTCCTGGAGCTCTGGCAGCCTTGGGGCTGTGCCCACTGCCCTGGGGAGCCTGGTCAGTGCCCACCACCCTCTGAGGGAAAAACCTTTCCCTGAGATGTCACCTTCTTGCTTTCCAATTGCCCTCCTGGATTAATTAAGGAGCGAAATATTGATCTCTCCCTTGCTGGCGAGTTCCACACCCCACTGCCTGGCAGGGCCCACTGACAGTGGGTACTCACCACCATTTTATCAGCGTGGAATGTCCTCTGGTAGCAGACCCCTGACTGGGTCACCACGATGCCCTGGCCATGCCTGTGATCATCCAGCCACGTCCCGATGTATCTCTCCCCTCTGGAATGCAACAGAAAACAAATTATGGGGTTTTTTCCCCTTTTTTCTTAGATCTTAATCCATCTGCTGTGTCACTTCCTGAGGGCAGTTCTACCTGTGCAGCACAACTTCCACATGTCCCACACAAACTCAGTCCATGCAAGGCTCTCCCAGGAGTTCAAGCCTTGCAGGAGAGGCTGAACCCATCCCACCTCCACCCCCAAAGCTCCCCAGCAAAACACGAGGCTTTATCCCACCGACAGCAGGCCGAAGGTGCCACACCCCTAAAGCCACCTCTGACCCACCCCCCCTCTACCTGTCCCTGTCTTCCCAGACTCCATATCCGTTCTTCTTGTCGTTTTCCCACTGGCCCGTGTATCTGAAGGGATGCTCAGCTGAGAAGTTCTCCAGGATCCCAAAGCCCTGCCGCACGTTGTCCTTGAAGTAACCTTTGTAGACCACGTCATTCCCATACCTGCAGGGACACGGGATTTAATTCCATGACTACCTGAGAGCTCCTCTTGGAACAGGAAGCCAGGAGAGTGAGCACATCAGGGTCACCTTCCTGCTGAATATTCCAGATTTTTGCTGAGAGTCATTTCCTCTGAGGAATGTTCATCACCCAACTAGTCACTCCACAGCTTCCAAGGACACAACACATTGGCTTGCAATTGTCCCTTGACCTCCCCCACAGTGACCACTGGTTGATCCAGAGGAGATCAGATCAACAGGAAGCCTCGTCTTCACCTTTCTGTGGTGGCCACCACCCCTCCTCCTGGGCTGGTCTCTCTCTCAGAAGGGCTCCTCTGAGCTGGAGTCATAAATAAGGAGCAGAACTTGCAGGTTGGAGGAAGGCAGGTCCTACAGGCCCATCCCAGCTGGAAAATTGGGCTCTGTGCTCTCCTGTCCCACTCGGTGCAGGGAAAGGAGTCAATGAGAGCATCAACCATGGACAGTCCAGGCTTCACGTGGCCCAACTCATCTGGGTACAAGCCACGTGTGACCTCAGCAAAGATGAGGATGGTGCTGGAGGAGAGAAGGCTCCAGGGAGACCTGAGAGCACCTTCAGTGCTTAAAGGAGCTCCAGGAGAGCTGGAGAGGGACTGGGGACAAGGGATGGAGGGACAGGACACAGGGAATGGCTTCCCACTGCCAGAGGGCAGGGATAGATGGGATACTGGGAAGGAATTCTTGGCTGGGATGGTGAGGAGGGACAGGCACAGGTTGTCCAGAGAAGCTGTGGCTGCCCCTGGATCCCTGGAAGTGTCCAAGGCCAGGGATAGTGGAAGATGTCCCTGCCCGTGGCCAGGCTGGAATGGGACGATCTTTCAGGTCCCTTCCAACCCAAACCATCCTGGAATTCTCTGTGCCCACAACCAGTGCTTTTCCAGACCAGGCTCCATCCAAATTCCCAGCAGATGGGATGAGATGGGAACATCCCACCCTCTGAACACCCCTTTTCCCCCCAGGATCCAGGTGGGGGTGTCACTTACTCACAGATTCCGTAGCCTCTCATCTTGCCCTCGTACCAGTGGCACTTGTAACAGTCATACCTGTCCTCAGCTTGGCGGGGGACGAGGCAGATCCCAAACCTGGAATGACACATGGAAGAGGTCAGCAGGGAAAAAGGCAGCTCAGCTGTACTGGGGGAAGTTTCAAAGTCGAGGAGCTCCAGATTTCCAATCTGATTTATGGGGTTGGGGGTCAACTCTCCCTCTGACACTATTTCCAGGTGTCACTAAATCCAAGTTCACTTGGATTTGGTCCAAGGAAAAGCTCCAGGACTGTTTTTTCCCCCTCTTTACCTTTCCCCAGTTTAGGAACTGAATTAAATGGGTTTTTATTCCTTATACAAAGTATCTGAGATTTTTTTTTCCCCCTTAAAAGCCTCACCTATTCTGTAATTCTTGTAAAAGTGAGGCATCTAAAAGCCTTACTTCCCAAAAAAAAAACTAAGTTAAATCTTTTGTCATTCCTTACACAAAGTACCTGAGATATTTTTTCCCCTTAAAAGTCTCATCTACTCTGGAATTCTTGTGAAAATGAGGAATGTAAAAGTCTTACTTTCAAAAAAAAAAACCACTTTTGTCATTCCTTACACAAAGTATCTGAGATTATTTTTTTTTCCCCTTAAAAGCCTCATCTGCTCTGGAATTCTCGCAAAAATGAGGAATGTAAAAGTCTCACCTTCAAAAAAAAAACCCCTAGATAAATAAGATTTGAATTTCACAGCCTGGTTTCTTACCCTTGAAAACTCGTCATTTAAGGGAAGTTTTTTAAAGATACCTAAAAATAACTTTTCGAGGCACTTCCTATGAATTAATTCACAGGGATTTAGACCCCAGGGATCAGGTTCATCCACGGGAATGTCCACATGGATGGAAATGCCTGCACTGAGCTGCTCATCTGCCCGTGGCTCTTTCCTTGTAGTCACCACCAACCCGCTCTCTCCAGGTTACAACACCCTCAGCTTAAGGCAGACATCCCTCTGGAAGGAAGGAATCATTCCTTAGCACAGTTTGAAACCAAGGAATGTCCTGTTTTCCAAGGCTTACCCGTGCTCCAAGCCCTCCTTGAAGTCCCCGACGTGGTTGCGTCCATCGCGCCACTTCAGCGTCCCCCTGGAATTCAGAGAATCGGCTCACCAGGGAGGGCACCCAACGCTCCCAGCTGCACCAGGAGGGAGCCAGGCCCAGCCCAAACGTGGCACAACCCCAAGGTTTGGACTGGGAGGGTGGGGAGGCCCTGGCAAAGGTTGCCCAGAGAAGCTGTGGCTGGATCCCTGGAAGTGTCCAAGGCCAGGTTGGAGCAAGCTGGGCTAGAGGAGGGTGTCCCTGGATGGGCTTTAAGGTCCCTTCCAACCCAACCCATTCCATGGCTCTGTGAATCTATGAACCATCCAAGTGCTGGGACAGCTGGGATTGTTCAGCCTGGAGAGGAGAAGCTTTGGGGGGAACTGATTGTGGCCTTCCAGGACCTGAAGGAGCCACAGGAAAGATGGAGAGAGACTGTTTACAGGGGCCTGGAGGGACAGGACACAGGGAATGGCTTCAAACTGCCAGAGAACAGGGTTAGATGGGATATTGGGAAGGAATTCCTGGCTGGGAGGGTGGGGAGGCCCTGGCACAGGTTGCTCAGAGAAGCTGTGGCTGCCCCTGGATCCCTGGAAGTGTCCAAGGCCAGGCTGGAGCAACCTGGGCTAGTGGAAGGTGTCCCTGCCCATGGCACGGGGTGGGATTGATGAGTTTTAAGGTCCCTTCCAACCCCAAACCAATCTGCAATTCTCTCATCTTCCATTCAGTGCCCACAGTTCAGCTGAGAAGTCTCCTCGGGGTCCCGCTGCTTCCTCAGACTTTAATTAATCTCCCACAGGATTCGAGAGCAGAAAACTTCCCCTCATTTTTCTTATTTCCCTCCTCCTTGAAGTGGCTCCATTTCCCCAAAGGGCTTCTCGAGTCAGAGATTGATGCTCTGAACTCTCATCTCAAGCAGCAACTTGGCACTTCAACACTGCTCCTGTTTCAGGGGTTTCTCCCAGAAAGTTTTCCCTTCACTCAGGACCAGCAGAGTGCAAAGTTTGGGAAAATCAAGGGAAAACGTGGTGTGACCTTTGAGGGAAAGGGACTTTGGACAAAGGAATGGAGGGACAGGACAAGGGGGAATGGTTTAGACTGAAATGGAGTAAGGTTAGATGGGATATAAGGAAGGAATTCCTGGCTGGGAGGGTGGGGACGCCCTGGCCCAGGTTGTCCAGACAAGCTGTGGCTGCCCCTGGATCTCTGGAAGTGTCCAAGGCCAGCTTGGAGCAACCTGGGCTAGTGGAAGGTGTCTCTGGGCTGGAACTGGATGATCCTTAATGTTCTTTCCAAACCACTCCGGGATTCCACAGCCAACATCAAATATTTCCTCCAAGGACAGAGACACTCAAGTTCTCCAGGAACCTCGGGGACTTTGCTTTGCACCGTGAGGATTTAATACCATGAGGATTTAATGCCATAATGTTTTCCTACTCTGGAACAAGTGGGAAGAATCCACTTCCAAGTTCCCTAATCTCAAAAGCATTTTCTAGAGGTGCTGGGTCATCCCTTCGGGACCTTGCACATGATCCTGTTTTAATTGCAGCATGTGATTAAATCACGGTGATTAAGCTGAAGTTCCAGCCTTGGCACATCCCCACAGACACCATAATGACACCACAGCCCCAGGAAAACAAAGGAGACAAGCACTGGCCTGAAGGGATCCTATCTCTCCATCTGGTTTTGTGGGGGGGTTGGAGAAGTGATCCCAGGAGGGAAGAATGTAAAGCCACACTGGAGGGGGTCAACGTGATGGGCAAGTTACTGCCAGGCCTGAATTCATGTCCCTCCCTCCTGGGCTCCCACTCCACCCCACCCACCCACCCTGTTCATTCTTGCATCACCCCAGACACAGCCAGATCCCTGCACATTCCCCAGCCAGAGATAACACAATTCCAGAGGGGTTTGGGTTGGAAGGGACCTTAAAGATCATCTCATTCCACCCCCGCCATGGGCAGGGACACCTTCCACTAGCCCAGCTTGCTCCAACCTGGCTTTGGACACTTTTAGGGATCCAGGAGCAGCCACAGCTTCTCTGGGAAATCCATTCCAGTCCCTCTCCACCCTCCCAGCCAAGAATTCCTTCCTAACATCCAATCTAAACCCACTCTCTCTCAGTTTAACCAAAGATGGTGCAACACCAAAACCACGACACGTCTGTTTGACTTTCACCGAGGCTGCTCTTGGAAACACCCACACGAGAGGGGCTTTTTTTGGGAGGTTTGCAGAGAACTGGTCAAGTTAAAATCAAGTGGATTTAAAATACAGCTCCTTTTGCTTTGCTGGTTTGAATGCCAGCAAAGGGGAGAAGCCAAAGAGGATGAGGGAACAGCTGGAGCTGTGCCAGGGCAGGGTCAGGTTGGATCTCAGGGAAAGGTTCTTCCCCCAGAGGGTGGTCGGGCACTGACCAGGCTCCCCAGGGCAGTGGGCACGGCCCCAAGGCTGCCAGAGCTCCAGGAGGGTTTGGACAATGCTCTGAGGGACAGGGGGGGATTGCTGAGGTGTCAGTGCAGGGCCAGGAGTTGGACTGGATGATCCTTGGGGGTCCCTTCCAGCTCAGGACATTCCATGGTTCCGTGTCTGCTCCAGCCACAGGGATGCTTTAAGCGACTTCTCAGTGGGAGAACCTCCTTCCCCCACACCAGGTCACCTGGAATACTGGCACAGAACAGTGGAGGAACCCAGATGGTTTTGCTGAAAGCCCTAATTCCCACTCCTCCAGCCCTGCTCACATGCTCTGCTGTGCCAGCCTCCCCCTCAGAGGTGGCCCTGCCATCCAGGCCAGGGCTCCTGCTCTGTAACCCTCCATTAGCAGCAGGTCACACAGCACCGAAATTCTAGGAGTGGGAAGTTCAGTCAGGGAATTAAGCAGCTCAAAGCCCAGGTTTTAAAACTTTGAAGTCACTTAATTCTGCCCCAAAGTCCCTGGGACGCCTCAGTCAGGTCACTTCACCTGAAGCAGCAGAGGAATTTACTGATCTATTGATGGACCTCCATTATCAAACCCGAAAGGAGAAGGGGACAAAGAGTTCTAGGGCACAGCACAGTCTCTTCCACAGAAAATTCAGGATTAAGCTTGTTGGAAATTGATGATCTTTAAGATCCCTTCCAGCCCAAATCATTTCTGATTCCGAATAATCTCAGTATTTTAAGGCTCTTTCAAACCAAGTCTCTAAAAAAACCACTAAGTTAAATCTTTTGTCATTCCTTACACAAAGTACCTGAGAGATTTTTTTCCCCTTAAAAGCCTCACCTACTCTGGAATTCTTGTGAAATCACATCTTTTTTTACTTCAATAGCAGCTGTGAACAGTATAAAACTCAGGGAGCACAAAACTTCCAAATCAGCCTGGTTTTGTGTCCAAAAAAACAGGGGCTGTGCTCTGTCCTACATCAAAGACATTTTGGTTGGGACCATTTGATTTCCAGACCATTCCCTTTTGTCCTGGCTGGCTTGAACTTGGATTTAATGAACAGTTCCTGTGTTCCCATTAAATGCATTTGAGCTCCTTTTGGATTTAATTGGTTTTTAATTCCTTTGATAAAAGTTCAGATGTTCAAACATGATTTTTGATAGCCCAGGATCAAACTTTTCTCTTATTGTGTTGTCACCATCCCTGGAAATGCTCCAAAAATGACTGGATGTGGTAATTCATGGTGTGGTTCAGTGGATATGGTGGGATCTGGGCAAAGATTGGGACTTGATGACCTTGGGAGTCTTTTCCAACATTAATGATTCTGTGATACAGGCATGAGAATTAACCCTCTGAGTCATCTTGCAAAGGGTTATTTCCACCCCAGCTGTCCAGTGGAAATCATGTGCCTTCCATCCTGCTTTGGATATTGGGAAGATTAACCCTCCAGCTCACTTTGCAGAGGGTTATCTCCACCCCAGCTGTCCAGTGGAAATCATGTGCCTTCCATCCTGCTTTGGATATTGGGGAGCCATTTTTTCCTGCCAGGGTGGGGAGGTTGCCCAGGGAGGTTGTGGATGCCCCAAGCCTGGCAGGGTTCAGGTTGGATAAGGCCTGGTTGAGCAACCTGGGCTAGTGGAAGGTGTCCCTGCCCATGGCACGGGGTGGGATTGATGAGTTTTAAGGTCCCTTCCAGCCCCAAACCAATCTGCAATTCTCTCATCTTCCATTCAGTGCCCACAGTTCAGCTGAGAAGTCTCCTCGGGGTCCCGCTGCTTCCTCAGACTTTAATTAATCTGCCACAGGATTCGAGAGCAGAAAACTTCCCCTCATTTTTCTTATTTCCCTCCTCCTTGAAGGGGCTCCATTTCCCCAAAGGGCTTCTCGAGTCAGAGGTTGATGCTCTGAACTCTCATCTCAAGTAGCAACTTGGCACTTCAACACTGCTCCTGTTTCAGGGGTTTCTCCCAGAAAGTTTTCCCTTCCCTCAGGACCAGCAGAGTGCAAAGTTTGGGAAAATCAAGGGAAAACGTGGTGTGACCTCCGAGGGAGAGGGACTTTGGATAAAGGAATGGAGGGACAGGACAAGGGGAATGGTTTAAACTGAGATGGAGTTGGGTTAGATGGGATATTGGGAAGGAATTCTTGGCTGGGAGGGTGAGGAGGGACGGGAATGATTTCCCAGAGAAGCTGTGGCTGCTCCACCCCTGGAAATATTCAAGGCCAGGTTGGAGCAACCTGGGCTAGTGGAAGGTGTCCCTGCCCATGGCAGGGGGTGGAACAAGACGGTCTTTAAGGTCCCTTCCAACCCAAACCATTCCATGATTCTACACCTCCTCCACTCACGCACCCACAGGGTCCAAGCAGAGCCCCCCAGAGCCAGCAGGGTTATCCCGCAGCGGTTTGGCTTAGGAAAAGGGGGTTAAAAAAAAGGTTCTAGGAAAAGGGGGTTGAAAAAAAGGTTTCCTTACTTGCCATGGGGCTTCCCCCAGCGCCACTCCCCCTCGTAGGCCGCGCTCCTGAACCTGCCCTCCAGCCTGAAGACGTAGGAGAAGAAGCGGCAGGGCGGGGGTTCGCTGCCCTCGCCCGTCCGGCCCCACAGCGGGAAATCCCGCTTCCCGTTGAGGGCCTGGCGCACGGCCTGGCTCAGCTTCCACTGCCACACGGCCTGTGGGCACAGGGACAGCAGGGGGGGTCACAAAGGGGGGCACACACATCCCAGCTTGGGCGAGTTTGGAGCCGGCTTCCCGCCAAGGCTCCGAAACTCGACAACGGAGCCTTGCTTCCCTCAAAGAGGGAAGGGAAAAAACAAACCAAACAGCCAAAGCTATAGCAAAAATACATATTTTACATATGAAACAGATATATACAGTGAGAATAGAATCAGAGAGTCAGAGAATCAGAGAATCAGCTGGGTTGGAAGGGACCTCCGAGATCATCCAGTCCAACCCTTGATCCAACCCCGCCGTGGTTCCCAGCCCATGGCACTGATGCCACATCCAGTCTGTCCTTAAACACCTCCAGGGATGGAGAATCCCCCCCTTCCCTGGGCAGCCCATTCCAATGGCTGAGCACCCTCTCTGCAAAGAAATTCTTCCTAATCTCCAACCTAACCCTCCCCTGGCCCAGCTGCAGACCCAGCCCTCTTGTCTTGCTGATGGTTGCCTGGGAAAAGAGACCACCCCCCCCTGGCTCCCCCCTCCTGTCAGGGAGTTGCAGAGAGTGAGGAGGTCTCCCCTGAGCCTCCTCTTCTCCAGGCTGAGCCCCCCCAGCTCCCTCAGCCTCTCCTCATGGGAATTGTGCTCCAGTCCCTTCCCCAGCCTTGTTGCTCTTCCCTGGACCTGCTCCAGCCCCTCCATGTCCTTCCTGAGCTGAGGGCCCAGAACTGGACACAGCACTCGAGGTATCTTATCCAGATAAGACTGGATGTGGCATCAGTGCCATGGGCTGGCAACTGCAGTGGTAGTGGATCAAGGGTTGGACCTGATGATCTCAGAGGTCCCCTCCAACCCAGCTGAGTCTCTGATTCTATGATTTTTCATCTCCCACCAACAGGGCAGTGGGCACAGCCCCAAGGCTGCCAGAGCTCCAGGAGGGTTTGGATGATCCTTTGGGGCACAGGGTGGGACTCCTGGGATGGGCCTGTGCAGGGGGCAGGAGTTGGGACTGGATCATCTTTGTGGGTCCCTTCCAACTTGGCACATTCTGGAATTCTGTGACCCATCTAAGCCACCTCTGGCCATCTAATACATGACTGGCTTGGCCAAGGGGCAAAAAAAAAAAACAACCAAATCAACCCCCACTGATTATTCTGCTTGAAATAATAAAGAGATGGCAAAAATCACAAAGACTGACCTTCATCTGCGGGTCTTTGGCAGAGAGGAGGAAGGTTTCTTCTGGGGTCGTGATGCGCAGGCCGTGCCTGGGAGGGAAAAGACATGACAGAGACTATGGAAACACATTTCTGAGTCCAACAGCAGCTCCTGCTCTTCTCTCTCCCCTTCAAAATGCTGCTTTTACAGCTGCTCTTTCCTTCTGAAGAGATGCTCAACTGGTCAACTTTGTTCTCTAGGTCTGGAGCCTAAATCATCCTATTATTAATGAGCATTAATTAGTAATGATGAGAAGGAATGGCCTCAAGCTGTGCCAGGGGAGGGTCAGCTTGGACATCAGGAGGAATTTCTTGCTGGAAAGGGTGGTCAGGCCTTGGCAGGGGCTGCCCATTGAGGTTTGGAGTTCCCAGCCCTGGAGGTGCCCAAGGAAGGCCTGGATGTGGCACTCAGAGCTCTGGGCTGGGGGACGAGGTGGGCATCGGGGACAAGGTGGGGATCAGTCATAGGGTGGACTCTGTGCCCTTGAAGGGCTTTTCCAACCTCAGTGATCCTGGGATTCCAGTCTGTCAGCCAAGGTGAGCAAAGCCCAAGCTGCTCTGAGCCCACCTGAAAGGTGCCTCAATGCCCCCCAGCCCAACCCCACCGGTTGGAAAGGACATGGCACAAAGTTTTGAGTCGTTTCCTCACAGTTTCACAATCAACTGGAACATTTCTTATAATTTTTCCTTAAGATCCAAGTGGGAATTCCTCACTTACAGCCCCGGAGCCGATTTCTCTCCGCAGTTTTCATCCACCCACACGAGCTTCAGGTCAAAACTCTGGAAGCTGTTTCCCTGGAACAGAAGGGAGGAGATGTTCCTGTTAGTGGTGTCAACATCCCACTTTGCCCTCGCTCTGAAAATCCATGGAATGGCAGAGCCAGACTGGCAGCACTGGGAATTCCCTCCTTTGTGGTCCACACAACTCTCCCACACCACGATAAAGACCTTGGAGGCTAAAAATGAAGGAAGGAGAAGGAAGGAAGTTCTTAGTTTAACACTTCTAAATGGTATCTCAAAAGGTCACAGCTACAACAGACCCTCTTAGATGACACTTCTCTCTACAGGAGTGTCTGTCCTATCACATGGCAACACTCCCAAATCATTCCAGAGCAGCTGTGGCTGCCCCAGCCCTGGAAGTGTCCAAGGCCAGGTTGGAGCAACCTGGGATAGTGGAAGGTGCCCTTGTCCATGGCAGGGGGTTGGAATGAGATGATCCTTAAAGTCTCTTCCAACCCAAACCATTCCATGATCTATCCATGATTTGGACTTCAATTGGCACAGCCAAAAATGGCCCACGAGTGCAATGTTTAAGTCATTATTATTTAGAGTCACTATTTTGACCAATAACACCCCAAACAGAAGACACTAAAATGGTTGAAACCCTGGGCAAAGACTATAGTTAATTTTACTATATTTAATTTTACCATATTTAATTTTACCATTTTTAATTTTACCATTTTTAATTTTACCATATTTATTTTTCCTCCATTTATTTTTCCTCCATTTATTTTTCCTCCATTTATTTTTCCTCCATTTATTTTTTCCTCCATTTATTTTTTCCTCCATTTATTTTTTCCTACATTTATTTTTCCCACATTTATTTTTCCCACATTTATTTTTCCCACATTTATTTTTCCTACACTTAATTTTAGACTACATTTAATTTTAAAATAAATAATTTCATTTTGCAGTATTTAATTTTAAATTTACAATCAGAGTCACGTGCGAGGATGGGGTTGGCCAAGCTCAGGTAGGAGGACTATGGAGTCCACCACGAATTAATCACTGACGTATCCAACAGATTTGGGAAGGGAGGAATGTTCAGATTCCCAGCCCTCATTTGCAGACCCCTCCCAGCCACCCAAGGCCACCAGTTCAATCCCAGCCCAGTTCCATCCCCAAGAGATGGGACACACTGGGTGGGACCTGGGGCTGAAGAGAGATGTTGGAAGGACTTGAGGAGCACAGTTGTCTCTCCCAAAGTGCCAAGGTCACAGAAGGGACTGGCCAAAAGATCACCCACCACAGGGGGAACCTGAGATAAGCACGGAAGGGAGGAATTTGGGACAGGAAGGTGCTGATCCCAAGGCCTGGTGGAGGTCAGATTCCCATTGTGGGAAAGGAAACAACTGCTCCCACACATCACTCCAGTTATGGGAACAACACCTGCAACCACCCCATGGAGACCCAAAACTTGGGCTGTACCAAGGTGGTACCTCCAGGACCACTCCAGGACCCCACCAAGAAGCCCAGGGTGAAGAAGGACCACCAGGACACCACTGGATCCACAGGTGGTGATGATCTTCTCTCTCCCCCTCCTCTCTTTTCTATTCTTTCTCTCTTTCTCCCTCATTTACTGTCAAATAAAATCCACATTATTGCCTTGGGCACACGGTCTCGTTTGCACCTTCATTTGGGCAGAGGCATCTCCCACCGTGGCACCACCAGAGATGTGGATCCCTCTTAGCAGTCACCCCATGCTCTCCTCTTAGTCAAAGGAGCTGAGGACGTGATTCAACTCAGCCTAATTTTAGCACCCAAAATAGGTCAGCTGAACCACACCCAGCACAGGTTTCTCTCCCTGGCTATAAAGGGAGCCCGGGGGCACCTGCTCCCAGCAGGATCAGAGCAGGGCTGAGGAATCCACTGTGGAAAGCTGGAAGAGACAATCACCACCCTGTTCCCTCAGGCCTAGACCCCGTGTTCTCACAAAGGCTCCAGTTTGGGAGGGTTTGGAAGGTGCAGCAGCTCCCAGGGCAGCATGTGTGGACACCTGAGGGGCTGGCACTTGACTAAAGAGAGGAGAACATGAAGAGAGCCCTGTCAGATCACAGAGCAAGCCAAGCTGGGCTTAACGTGCTACAGAACAGCTTTGAACGTGTCTTATTCATCCTGCTGGCCATGGCTGCACAGACACTCCCTGTCTGCCCCACACCCAGGCCCAAAAATATCCCAAAGAGCCCCAAAACCACCTGCAGCATCTGCTGTTGTGCCACCAATACAGTCAAGCATGGCGGGTCCTATTTAGTTCATACAGTGTTACATCCTTGAGCCACCAGGCCCTTTGGTCCTTTTTGGCCCACTTTGGTCCTTTAAATAAGTGAGGACCAAAATCAGCTGCAGGAATGGGCTTGGATCACTCCAAAGGTGCCTGTGGTGCACACTGACCGAGGGAAGTGCCGTGGATGTTCCTCTCTTCCTTCTCCTTTAGGTTTTCCTTTATTCTCCAGTGCAAACCACGGGTGGACGGACCTGAGACAAAGTTTCCCCGACAGCCAAGCTCTGCTGTGTCTTCAACGCCAGAGGAACCTGAATTCCTCTGTCCTTTCTCCATCCAGCCCCTCTGGGGGGGCTGCAAGACTCACCTGGATGAGCACGAGGACGTCGTCGAAGAGCAGGATCCGGTCGGAGCGGTTGGTGCTGGTGGAGATGGGAAGGTTCTTGCTGTCCTCCAGCAGCCTCCTCTCGGGAACACACAGCATGTCCTGCACACAGGGAAGCACAGGATGGAGCACCAAAACATCAGGAGCTGGGAGAGGACACCCAATCCAAGCCAAGAGCTCCTGCAAGGCCCAGCTGAGCCAGGGTGGAGGCTGCGACAGCAGAACTGGACTCAGAGCTTAACTTTAAACCACCCAGTGACCATCAGGTCTCTCCAACACTTTCACCCAGCCCTGCTCTGGTGACTTCAAGCCTCAAATTCTTGATCCATGTTCAGCTTCCTCCAGGGATACAGAGAAATGTAAGACCTTCAAATGAGGCTCCCCTTTCTCCAGCCAGGACTCACCGTGAACTTGCAGCCCAAGGATTTCCATAAGGCCTTGGTAAAACAGGCTTCATCCAGGACCTGGCTGATGAAAGATTCCAGCTTCACGTACTCCTGGATGACACTGGTGACCACGTCCTTCTCAGGGCCCTGGGAAAAGAAGGCAGGGCTTGAGCAACACCTTCAACCCCGGGCCGAGGGAATTTCAGGTTGGATATCAGGAATACCTCCTCACTGAAAGAGGGGTTAAACATCGGAACGGGGCTTCCCAGGGAAGTGGTGGAGTCACCAGCCCTGGAAGTGCTCAAAAAACAAGTGGATGTGGCACTTCATGATATGGTTTAGTGGCAATGGTGGTGTTTGGCCCAAGGTTGGACTTGATAATCTTGGAGGTCTTTTCCAACCTTAATGATTCCGTGATTCAGGCATGAGAACGAACCCTCCAACCCCCCTTTTCCAGGAAGGCCTCCCAAATCCAGCCACCAGCAGAAATGAGCAACCCCAGGCCAGTCATTCGACCTTCAGCAGCTCCTCCCCGTGATGAGAATTTGGATTCCCCGGCACATCCCCGGAGCCCCACGGCGTTAATGAGCCAGCCAACATCCCACCGAGTTTCCCACCTCTTTGAGGGCCTCCTTGAGCGTGGTGAGGAGCAGGAGGTACTGCTGGATGTGATCCCGGAGGGGTTTGTGCAGGACAGTGTACAGGGCCAGGGCCATGGAGCTCTCGGGCGTGAAGTCTGTCAGGAACTGCTTCAGCACCGTCTTGTGCAGCTTCCAGGCCTCGCTGCCAGGTGGGTAATTAAGGCAAAGGCTCATTAATTAGTTTTTCTGCAAACTGTCACTCCTCTGCCTCCCAAACTTCCCCGTGCTGCCTCTCCCTCAGAGAGGGTGACCACACGAAGGAGCAGGAGATGTTGAAGTGGTTGTGAATCTGCTCATACCCAGCGGTCGTCTTTTCATTTGCTGCTTCCACGAGACTCTGGGACAAGCAGTGGAGATTCCCTGCCAGATTCCCACAGCACCCTGGCCCACCTTTTACCTAAGCCCCCAAAATTCCCAATTTACAGGCTTTCACTCCTACAGAAGGAGTTTTGTGGGGATAGAAGGAGATGGAGAGAGTTCTGCAGAGGAGACCCATCATCCCGTGGCTGCCCCATCCCTGGAAGTGTCCAAGGCCAGGCTGGAGCAACCTGGGCTAGTGGAAGGTGTCCCTGCCCATGGCAGGGGGTGGCACTGGATGATCTTAAGGTCCCTCCCAACCCAAAACACTTGGGGATTCCATGGCCCACTGACCTTTTGCTCTTGGTGACGTGTTCGAAGCCTTGGACCACGACATAGTTTGCAAAGGTGACAAAATACCTGTTGGCAAGAAAAAAAACCAACCAGGACACACGGGCTGAGTCAGAGGTGGACACTGGGGAGGAGGTTTAACCAAAGGAAGCTGCTGGGAGGCTCCTCTACCCCCACAAAGAGGGAAGAGGACAAATTTAACAGCTCAGAGCGAGGCTGGTTTATGGTTTAGTTGATGTGGTGTTCAGTCAAAGGCTGGACTCGATCTTGGAGGTCTTTTCCAACCTCAAAGATTTCAGGATGAAGGGAAGAAGCTCATTTGAAAACGTCCTGTCACATCCACCTTTCCAAGGGAGGCCTGGAGAGGTGGAGCTACTGCACTTGTCCCCTTGGCCTCATTCCTTGTGCCCCCTTCCCCAGCTCCTTGGTTTGTTGCACTCGGAGCGTTACAGGGAGTTTAAATCATCCTGGCATTTGGCACCAGCAGAGGGAAACTTGTGCAACCGTCCTGGAAAGCAAATCTGCAAAGGCTGAGCTTAAAATAATGGCTTCAAACTGAAAGAGAGCAGAGTTAGGTGGGACATTGGGAAGGAATTCCTGGCTGGGAAGGTGTGGAGGCCCTGGCACAGGTTGCTCAGAGAAGATGAGGTTGCTCCTGGATCCCTGGAAGCGTCCAAGGCCAGGTTGGAGCAACCTGGGCTAATGGAATGTGTCTCTGCCCATGGCAGAGGGTGGCACTGGATGATCCTTAAGGTCCTTCCAACTCAACCTATTCCATGATTCCATGCAAGCATCAGGTCTCTCCTGCTGATGGTAAATCCCCACCAAGGTGTCCCTGGCCAATGCTTCCCGTCTCACACTAGAGGGAGTTCAAGCCATATTTTCCAAGCAAACACCACATTTTCTTCCCGTGGTGTTTTCAGTGAAGTCGTGTAGAATGTCCACACTAATTCTCATTTATCACCTTTGCCAGGGACACACATTTACTGCTGATTTTCAGGTCCCTTTCCCTCCTCCCCTCCCATTCCAAGGAGGATCAGGACTGCACAGGGTGAGTCAGCAGAGCTGGGGAGGAACCACCTCTTTTTTTTTTTCTTTTAACCTGACACCCAACAAAACCAGCTTTTTAATTTGAAAAGGAGGGGAAATAAGATCTTAAGATAAACTTCTCCTTTGTGTCACCCGAAACCTCAGCCTCAGTTTTCACCTGCCACGTGCCCGGGGCAAAAACCAGCTTTAATTCACCCAGCCAGCTCCCAAATGGAAGCACCCAGCTGCTCCAAACCCTGCTCCCACCAAGGCAAAGCTGGGGCAGCGCTTCCTAAAATTATTTCCAAGGGAAAATAACATTCCTCTCCTCAGCCCCCCTAGGGCTTTAAACTTGCTCGTGTCCCATGTCCCCTCTGCCAGCTCAGCCTCCGCCCTCCTAAATTTCTCTCTGACAAATCTAGTCCCTTATATCATTCCAGAACCCTTACTGGATGTAGATGCTGAGGAACAGGTCCCCTTTCCAGATGGTGTAAATGTCCTGGATGCAGGAGCGCTCGGAGTCGCCGCGTTTCTGTTTCAGTATCCGGTAGTTTTCCTCCGTGAGGTTCCAGAGGGCTTGGAATCGATCGTTGAGGAGCAGGAAGAGCTTGAAGTTCTCCTTCCCCTTCTGGTCATTTGGCTCTTGGAGGAAAAATGTGGAGGGGGGAAAAACACGGTGAGGAAGCCTTGACTTGTGGAATACTTTTCCTGTATCTAAAACTCAGTGTAAAGCACATTTATATAACGGGAGAGAGGCCACGGGATTGATCCTAATTATTATCCAAAGGATAAATGGAGTAATCCAGAGGTGATTAGAGGGCTGGAGCCCCTCTGCTCTGGAGCCAGGCTGGGAGAGCTGGGGGGGTTCACCTGGAGAAGAGAAGGCTCCAGGGAGAGCTGAGAGCCCCTGGCAGGGCCTGAAGGGGCTCCAGGAGAGCTGGAGAGGGACTGGGGACAAGGGATGGAGGGACAGGACACAGGGAACGGCTTTGAACTGAAAGAGGATGAATTTAGATGGTTTTTTGGGAAGGAATTCCTGGCTGGGAGGGTGGGGAGGCCCTGGCACAGATTTCCCAGAGAAGCTGTGGCTGCCGCTGGATCCCTGGAAGTGTCCAAGGCCAGGCTGGAGAAACCTGGGATAGAGGAAGGTGTCCCTGCCACTTTCCACGAGATGGTCTTTACTGTCCCTTCCCACCCAAACCATTCCATGAACTCTGTGCTGCTCAGCCACGAGCACCAGAGGGAAAATTTCTGCCCCTGGCCCAAAGAACCATTCCCAAAGAACCATTTCCAGTCTCCTTGGAGGCCAAAAAGGCAGTGACATGAGCGGGAACCACCCTCTGAGCCCAATCCAGTCCCACCGCTTTCAGCCAGACAGGCTCATGAATATTTATATGGATTTGTTGTGTCAGTGGAGCTGCTCTGAGGGCTGTTCCTGCCAGCTGGGAACCTGCACCCACGAGTTTTACCTCCAGAGATGGGCACAGCCACGGAACCAGAGCAGGGAGGGAGAATGGGAACAGTTTTGGGGTCACGCCTGCGCGAGATGCATTTGGGACTCATGGCCCACGCTGGAAACCAGCCCTGGAGTGGGTGTGCAGGTGATCCTGGTTAAAATGGGGAGTAACTTCTAAAAACCAGAGAACCACAGCCCTGGGCTTGACTGGCAGGCCATGCACATCCCTAAAAACCTCACTATCCTAAATCAAACATCTCCACAAACCGCTTACTCCGACAAAACACGGAGTTCCCACCGCGAATCCCTTCGGGGCTGTGCCGGTGACTCGAGGAACTTCAGTGACTCAAGGTGAGACCTTCAGACAGCCCCAAGCTCCTGTGACTTACCTGCCTGGAGCAGAGGCTTCAGGACCAGGGCATCGATCCGTGCCAGGCTTGCTGAGAAGGTCTCCTCCAGCTGGAGCAGAGAGGCCGCGGCTTCCTCCGCGCACATGTCCTGGACACGACACAGAGGGCACAAATCAACCCATCCATGGCACCTGCTGGTCCCTGAGGTCTTTCCCAACCTCAACAATCCCGTGGTTTTAGCTACTTTAAGGCTTCAGAGCTCCCGGCGAACAATCAGAAATCAAAAACCTCTCGTGCTCTTGACAGCGCACGCAGAAGTCGCGGCTGTCCCCAAAAACCTTGGAAGAGGAAGCAGAAACCCAACAGCTCGACACGAGCTGCTGCCACAGAACACGACCAACCACATCCCCAAACTGGAGATCTTCTCCAGAAGGGCCACAAACCCCCTTCCAAGCCCTAAATTCCTTGTGTCAATCCTGCCTGGTGCCAGCTCCGCTCTCCCAGCAGACCACCCCTGAAGGCCCAAGGCAGCAGAGGACGAAGCAGAGCATCTCTTCCCACCTCTCTCACCGCTTTCCTGCCCGGGTGCCTCAACCTGCACATTTTGGGCTGGCAGGGGGTTGTCCAGCGCTGCAGGGCCGTGCCAGCCATCCCAAACGTGCAGCTCTGGCAGAGGGGCAGAGCTCTGGAGCTGCTCCTTTCCCAGCAGGGCGCTGCCCTCCCCGCTGCTGTTGCTGCAGTGTCACGGCCGCCGCGTCACCCAGGAAAAGTTGCTCAAAGCGGGAAGTCGGCAGCAAACCCCACGTGAGCAAAGTGGGGCAGCTTCCCCCCCTTTCCCAGCCCCAGCTCCCAAAGGAAATGCATCAGAGGATGTGGGCACAGCCAGCTGAGAGTGTGTCAGCCCTGCTCTGGGAAAAGCTCAGCAGGTGAAGAAACCTCGGGCACAATCAGCCGATGTCACCAAAGGGGATAAAAACACAGAATTGCGAGAGTCTTGGAGCTTTGGGGAGCAAAACAGAGAATTCAAGGCACTGGATATTGAATCCCACGATGGTTTGGGTTGGAAGGGACCTTAAGGATCATACAATTCCACTCCCTGCCATGGGCAGGGGCACCTTCCACTAGCCCAGCTTGCTCCAACCTGGCCTTGGACACTTCCAGGGGTGGGGCAGCCACAGCTTCTCTGGGAAATCTGCTCTAGTACCTCCCCACCTTCACAGTAAAGAATTTTTTCCACATATCCAATCTCTTTGCACACTTATTCCAGCTCAGTCAGGTAAAGAAGGCTGGAATTCTGTCACCCGGTGAACAAAGACACCACTTCTCATCCAGAGGGCAAAGGAAACATCTGGGACCATCCAAGAGCCCCCAGAGGTCATGAGGGGTCCACGTATCGTGACAATGCCAAGGTTTATGTGGAAAATCAGCCTCTGAGGGTGGAAACTCCCACTGGAAAACAAAGTAGCCCCCTGCCTGCTCCAGGTTGCCCCGAGGAATGAGATCTCCCCAGAAGAATGTTCTCCAGAGCACGAGACATCTGTTTGTTCTGCTCAAATGAAGGTAAGAGAAAGCCACACAGTGATTAGAGAGGAGACACATCCCAATACTCCTGTAGGAACAGGAAAAAGACCCGGAGAAACCACTCCTGGAGGAGTCTTTGTGGCTCATCCCTCCCTGGTCCGTGCCCTGAGTGTGACAGTGAGGGCAGAGAAAAAGGGTGGGAAAACTAAGGCTAAAGGGTTGCTGGGCATCCAAGAGATGGGAGCAGCCTGGAGGAACATTCATCCTCGATGGGGTCTGTCCAAAGCTCCTAAATGAGCATTTCAGTAGGAAAACCCGGGAGCCACAGCAGGTGTTTACACCCAATCCCAGGAAATCGCCAGAAAGTTGGATGGAACAGATAGAAAACCAAGCCAGGAGATGTTCTGATGGAATGCTGAGCTTCGTTGTCAGCTCTCCACAGAACCCCTCTGGATTTTGTAGCTCTGAGGCAGCTGTTCCAGCAGGAAAAAAGTGTGGAAAGGCCCAGAGATTCCGTCTGTGACACAAAGTTTGTCATGGAACACACATCCAGTCGAACAACCTGCACGAGGAGGGAATTAAGGAACCAACTGGCCACGCACAGAAGGACTATCCATCTTCCATCTTCCTCCTGGGAATCCCCCTCTGTGCTGAAGTGGAGATTATCAGGCCACATTTAGATGGGAGAAGCCCAGCACAATGCCAGATTTCGGGAATGCTGAGGGCGTTTTCCCGCTGAACCAGGCGGGATGTCCACGCCACGACCACGTTTGCTGCAGCCCCTCCTCTCCTTGAGCTCTTCCCTTCCCCTGCACCAGCCATCCTGAAAAAACATGGTGCCTTTGCAGCCCTTCCAAGCTCATCCATCCTCGGAGTTCACGGTGTTCCTACTCCCGGATACCTCGGGAATGAGGCCAGGCCATCCCGTTGGCACACACAGGCCTCAAACGGGCCAAGTTTTCCCTTCCTTGCCCTTGGATGAGCATCCAAGTCACTGCTGCCTTGCAGCTGAAGAGGTTCCTTCCTCCTCCAGCCCGTACCTAGTGAGGAAATCATCCCCACAGAGGCAGGGACTGCAGAATTCCAGACTGGTTTGGGTTGGAAAGTGCCTAAAGATCATCTCATTCCATGGGCAGGGACACCTTCCACTAGGCCAGGTTGCTCCAACCCAGCCTGGGACACTTCCAAGGATGGGGCAGCCACAAGTTCTAGTTTTAAAATAAATAAAAGCATTTCAAACTGAGGCCAAGAGGCACTAAAACCACTTCTCTGCCAGGGCAATCCAACTCTTCCTCTCCTTTTGCTTTTCACTCTCTCAGTCACTGAACACAGACCTAATTATCCATTTCCTGCCCTTGGACAGCTCAACATCTGGATAATCAGGATTAATCTGATCCAAAACAGGGGTTTATTGCGAGGGAAACAGGGATTAGCACTCAGGGTTGGGTTTAGGGGTGTGAGGGGAGAGGAAAAAATTTGTTTGAGCTGCATCAAACCTTCTCATTTCCAGGTTATTTTTTCCCCTGGCTCTGTTCCCCAGCACAGTTTGATGCACCATCCCATAAACACGTCCAGGAGCAGGGTGTGATCTCCACACTTCATTAACAGCTCCATAAACCCAGGAGATCCTCAGGCCAACTCTGGTGGACAACACCAAGACGTTTTTCCCCCTTTCTGTCCCAAGTTTTGCTGCTTTTCCCCCCATTTCAAACATCCTCCTGCATCTTAATCGAGCTTCCAACCCTCATCCCCCCCCCTCACGTGTCACCCTCCAGCTGAGTCTGCATTCAGGCTGCCACAAAGGCTGTCCTGCCATGTGGAAAAACAATCCCACACTTTGTTTAACCACCGGAGCAAATTGTGGGAGCAAATTCTCCCGTTCAGATCCCGCTCCCTGTGGAGGCTCCGCCGCTCCTGGGGGGTGAACTGGAGCCGCCTCAGGAGCAGAAACACTCAAACCCCGGGTGAGTTAGGAGGTAATTGGGAATTAACAGGGCAGAAAGACAATCAAACCCTCATTCCCAACCTTTTATGCTCCCATTTAGCAGCATAAAAAGGGGGAGGGAGAGAAGAACTTGGACGGAGATTTTTACCATGAGTGACCGAAGCGGAAGAACCAGGCAGGGTCTGACTGAACGTTTCCTTTCCTGTGGGAAATTGCTGAGCAGGACAACAATGAAATTAGGTAGGAAAGGTTTAAAAACACAGCAAAATGGACAGATTTGAGCACAAGACCCTCAGCTTTTTGGTCATGAAGCCACACAACAAACATCTGCAGCACAGCAGCGTCCTCAAGCAACAGGGACAACCCGGGAGGGACAGCAGGACATCTGACCTCTAATTAAGCCACAGAACTCGCTGTTTTTCCCAAGAGAACACTCTACATCCATCAAAAACAGCTGGATGAGTCCTCAGAGGGAAGAAGGGGGGGAAATCAATTAAAAGGTAATAAAAACAAAGGGATCGACTCCAGCTCGGGAAGTCCCCGAGGAGGCAAAACCCACACACAGAGAGGAAATATTACCACAACAATTCCCAGTTTTTGTGGTGTTCTTCTCCAGGAATATCCTGCACTGTGAGGGGTGACACAGCCTGGCTGGATGCTGCTGATTTTTTAGCCATCACTCATAAAAACTGGTCACCAAGAAGACACAATGCGAGGTTTTCAAAGCATTGCCCGGGTTCAAATCCCAGCAAATTCCGGATAACTGCGTGGCCAGGAGCTGCCAAGGGGTCAAACAAGCATTCAGCACTCTCTTCAGGAAGAGCTGAAAATGCAGAATTGATTTTTTAGCCCCAGGAAAACATGTTTCCCCCCCCCCTCAAAAAAACTTTGGTCTTTTGTGTCTTTAAACAGAAAATCAGGAAAAACAGGAAGTTCTGTAGGAGGGAAGGAAGTGCTCTCTTTTTTTCTTTTTTTTTTTTTTGCAGGAATAGGGGAGGCAAAAGCTTTGCACAACCCCCATCTGACCCAGCTGCTTTTATTTCTTTCCCAAACCCCCACTGGAAGCACGTGTCCCCTTCCTGAGGAAGTTCACTCTTCACCTACTAAAAACAACCATCAACCTCTGGTCGGCTCCAAAAGGTCAAAATCCCTCTGAAGCCCTTTCTGAAGGCTGAATTCCCACCCCAGACACCCTTTGGAACAGAAAAGAGGCAGGTGAAAAGCTGGATTGAAGGCCAGTTTCAGCGAGATAAGTGGATTTTGGGGCATCCCAAATCTCTCCACTGCAGAATTAAAGAGCTCAAAGGACTTGTTGACAAGCCAAGCTGAGGAAGATCACTCTCACCATAATTAAGGATGTCATTAAGCCACAGCAAAGAGCCAGGCCTGATAAGGCCCACAGGCAAAATGATGTTTACTTAGTGGTTTAATCCCCCCTGGCCTTGTAGTTCCCATTATCCTTATCACTTACAAGGAGCTTATGTGTGTGTGGAAGTGGAATTGTTCTGACCCAGCACCATGGAATGGCTTGGGATTCCTGGATAAAACTCCAAACCACACCTGGAACAGCTCCAGGTGGTCTGGAGGCAGCAAAGGGAAGGAGAGGATGAGAAGAGAGGAGTGGAAATATGGGAAAGGCAGAAAAAAGAGCTTGAGACAACCTTTGTGGCACAGCTTTGCCAGAGCTCCTTTCCCTGGAAATCACACTCCCGAAAATATAGGATGGTTTGGGTTGGAAGGGACCTGAAAATCCATCCAGTTCCACCCCCTGGCACGGGCAGGGGCATCTTCCACCATCCCAAGCTGCTCCAAGCCCAATCCAACCGGCCTTGGGCACAACGTGCATCCTCTGCTCTCCCAAATAAATGGGATTTCAGCTCAAAAGGCAAGAACAAGGACAGAGCACTGCACAGTTGGGGTTTAGGAGGTGTCACCATCCCCATCAGAGCAGGTTGGAGTCAGACCTTGAGTGTCAGAGCCGGAATTACAGCCTGGAAACCACCCCAGAGGCACCAACACCCCCAGAGGGGTGTCCTTGGGGACAGTGGGAGAGGTGGCAGCAGAAGTGTGGCACGGAGGAGATGGAGCTCAGGGGCACCAACATCACCCCTGACCCTTCCTGGGCACTCAGCACCCCCAGAACTCCAGCAGGGCCAGAGAAAAAAACACCATAAAGCTGCAAACTGCCTGCACTAATTTAAAAAAAAACTGCACTAATTTAAAAAAAAACCTGCACTAATTTAAAAAAACCCTGCACTAATTTAAAAAAAACCTGCACTAATTTAAAAAAAAAACCTGCACTAATTTAAAAAAAAACCTGCACTAATTTAAAAAAAACTGCACTAATTTACCTGGTTTCTTAGGGAGAGAAGAGAGGAGATTTTTTTTTTTAAATTTTTATTTTTTATGGGTTTGTGTTCTTCTTGGTGATGTCTGTTTGTATTGAATAATTTGTTCCTTTTTTAAAATGTAAGAGGTATATATATGTATATTTCTAACGTTAAATAACTGATTTTTTTCAAGTTTTTTTCTTAAAAAGAGGAGAGAAAAAAATATTTTTTTTCAGGAAGAAAACTTTGGAGGTGTCTGGCTCCACCAAATCTTCCCAAGGGAGGCTCTGGATCCCTGCCCTGCCTGCTCTGCCTTTGGACACCTCCACTCTCCTCTCCTCCCACCCCACTGATGGTTGTTTATGCAAAACGTCCCTCACAAACAAACCCTCCCAGATCTGCCCTTCCAAGTGATCCATGCAAAGCCCAGGAATTCCAGAGCATCTCCAATCCCTGCCAGAACCAGGGCAGGGCTGGAATCTGTGCAAAGGAACTGGAATGAGGAGAAAAAAAAGCCTTGCTTGGATCTGTTTAATCCCTTGTTTAATCCCTTGTTTAATCCCTGCACCCAGCCCAGCCTTTCTCTGCTTCTGTTTGGGTTCCTTAAACTCACTCACAGGGTCATGTTTGGGTTGGAAAAGACCTTAAGGATCATCCCATTCCAACCTGGCCACGGGCAGGGACACCTTCCATTATCCCAGCTTGCTCCAACCTGGCCTTGGACACTTCCAGGGATCCAGGGGCAGCCACAGCTTCTCTGGGAAATCCAGTCCAGGGCCTCCCCACCCTCCCAGCCAGGAATTCCTTCCCAATATCCCATCTAATCCTTCCCAGAGGGAAGCCATTCCCCCTTGTCCTGTCCCTCCACCCCTCATCCAAAGTCCCCCTCCAGCTCTCCTGGAGCCCCTTCATGCACTGAAAGGCTGCAACCAGGTCTCCCTGGAGCTTCCTCTCCTTGAAAAACCCAGGACATTCCCAGGAATGGTGCCCAGCACCATTAAGAACGATCCCAAATGAAGAACTCCCTAATTTTTCCACCTCTCTTCAGCGCCCGGGGCCTTTTCCCAGGGCAGAGCAGTCGGAAGCTTCTGGTGCTGCATCAAACCCTCCAGGGGCTCTTCGAGGACAAATGAGAAGCTCCACAGAGTCTCTCCAGTGCTTCCCAACCTCTGATCATCATTCCAAGCCACCACAATCCAACCCCCCAGGTCCTCTGCTGACCTGCAGAGCCGGGCAGGAGCTCCCGACAAAAACTCTTTCACAAGAAAATTCCTGCTTGCTGAGCCCAAAGCACTTTGCATGAGCCCTCTCCAGTTCCACAGGAATGTAAACAATGCCCGAGCAGGTCAGGCCTGTGGGCCAGCTGGGCTGGCAGTAAAACCCAGAGCTCTTATTTAGCAAACAAACACGAGCTGGGTCACTCTCTGAGCTCCTTTCCCCGGGAATTCCCTCACCGACCAACTGCGGCGTTCGGGATCTCCAAAGCTCCAACCCTATTCCTTGTGTCTCCCTACGGGGGGGGGAATTTTTCCCTGGATTTCTCTCATCCCTCTCAAACTCGCTCCAAAATCCACTGCTGAGCCGAAGGCAGGGTTCTCTGAAGGACAATTCCTCCCGGTTTCCTCGGAGATCCTCCACAAATCCCATCTTGCAGCTCATTGGGAACTGAAGTCCTCACAAAAGGAATATCGAAATTCCCAAGCTCAGGGAGCAGCTGCAAGTTCTAGGAAGCTTCCAGGCATAGGAAGCTTCCACCAGGAGACAGAGCCTTTGGGTCAGGCCCAAATTAAACCAAGCTCAAGTTTAAAACCAGCCCCTCCCGTGACCTGCCGCTCCCCCTCTTTCGGCTCCAGACACGGCATCGTTTGTTATTTTTATAAAAGCCTTCAATTGGTTGCTTTTCCCCCCATAATTGACCCGGATTTTTCCCTGAGCACCTGGAATCTCCTGACCACCTGGAATCTCCTGACCACCTGGAATCTCCCGACCACCTCCCCGCCCCCGCAGAAACCCGGCGGAGCTAATCAGGAGCTAATCAGCCTCTCTCGCCCTAATTAGCGGGGGATCGATTTCTTTGTCGGGCGAGATGTGCAAGCCCAGCAGCGACACAAACACACACACACGCATTGCCGGCCTTACTTCATCAGCCCTGAGCTGCCAGGTGAGGCTGGAAAATCCCTCTGGAAGCAGGAGCGAGCCCCAACCCCCGGAGGATCGGGCGGGAGAGACGCGGGGCGTGCACAGAAAACACAGCCCGGGACAACTCGTGGGTCGCAGCTTTGTAGCAGCTCCTCTGCCCTGATCCCGCACCCCCAAAATCACACAGCTTTGGGATGGGGTGGGTGGGAAGGGACCTTCAAATCCACCCTGCATGGGCAGGGACACCTCCCGCCAGAGCAGGTGGTCTAAGTGAAAGCAAGGAGAGGGTTTAAGCAAGCCTAGACTAGGCTGGGGATTAAATACCTCAAAGACAACGTTTTAAAGCAAAGCCGGTGTGTTTTATGAAGCAGAAAGCGCGTGAAAATGCAGTTTACGCTCCGCACTTCTGGTCCCTCGCGGAGTTAAATTTCCACCCTCCAAAACTTTCCTCCGGGACTTGGAGCAAATTCCCTTCACCGGCCCCTTCCAAGGCTGATCCTAAACCCCTCCGAGAGCTAAGCCGAGCCTGAGGATCAACAGGACACCACCCCCCCAGCCCCCCGAGCGGCACTTGGAGGACGTACCGGGCACAAGGCGGGCGATGCTCCGGGAGCGGCTCCTCGGAGCTGCCCGAGCCCCGAATTCCCGGGACCTTCCCGAGCCCCCGAATTGCCGGGAGCTGCCCG